AACCTGGAAGCACTAAGAACAAAAGAATTAAAACCTAACGACAGAAAAAAACCTGGAAGCACTAAGAACAAAAGAATTAAAACCTAAACAACAGAAAAAAAACCTGGAAGCACTATGAACAAAAGAATTAAAACCTAATGACAGAAAAAAAACCTGAAAGCACTAAGAACAAAAACCTAACAAAGAAAAAAAATCTGGAAGCACTAAGAACAAAATGAAAAAACCTGGAAGAACTAAGAATTAAAAACCTAACATTAATAAAACATCTGGAGTGCCATTATATTTGTATTAAGTTATTTTTGTTTAAAATCAGATGGCAGTAATATCATAAATCAAATATTTGATTGGTTTGTTTGTAATTAAGCACAATGGGCTATCTGTGCTCTTCACACCACTGGTAACGAAAGCCAGTTTCTAGCATTGTAAGTCTGAAGACATACCGCTGTGGCAATTGGAGGGCTATTTGATTGGACGTACTTGAAAATTAGAATGATCTCACTGTTAGACAAAATGTTGTACAGAAATAAATCCATAAATCCCACAGATAACTGTTTCAAAATTTCATATTCTTATTAATTTCCTGTTTGACTAACTTTCTTGATCTTCTGTAATCCTCCAAGTTTCCCATCAAAGCAGTGAGAAATTCTTAAACTTACAATGTTTTTGTTTAATTTTAACCCCTATAAGCATTGGGAGCCAACCTGGTACTTTTCTTACGTCCACCCTTCTGCTCTATAAAGAACATGACTACCTTGAGTATTTAAAGATTAATGTTTAAAATATTCTTGTCTCATCTCTCAATTTTCTTTTTTGGAAATTTGTAACCAAAATCTAATTATTTCCATATGCAGTGTGTAACATCAAAACCAAAATGGTGCCATGACCACACTCCCCAATTTCTATCCTATCAACCATTTCTTCATTAGAAATTAATAAATAAAAAAAAAATAGCAGTTTCCAGTAGGTTCTCTACATAATGATGATGAAAATTTCCCAAATAGTTCTTAAAACTTGTCTCCTTCATCATTTGACTCTTATACGATCAAAATTAAAACGCCTCATTATGCTTATTGTGAATTTCACCAGGTCGTCTGTAACAAACTCCAAGAATTTATTTGGTTGATTAGGCTTAGTGTTACATTGTTTTCTAAGCTTTATATATAAATATCTTTGTATGTGTAGAATGGTTTATTCATGATACTTATATTGAACAGACACTGTAAAATCTCCATATACTAAAAGATCACATGCATCTATTCCTATTTATTATCTCTTCCCCCCCCCCCCCCCAGCACAACTAAAAACAAACCTGGTACTGAGTATAGCTAATTAAATATACTGTTCTTATTTATGTAGAGTAGAATGCATTGTTTTGTCAGACGGGTACCCTTGCTGTTAATGTTTTCGGCCATAAACCCAACAATAGCTAAATGACAAAAGTGAAGACACAGCAAACTGATAGCAACCTTTTTTATTGTGTACCCAAGTACTTTTGCACAAAATGTGAATAACAAGCACATCAGCCCAATAACCATACTTTGTTAAACTTTCAATATTAACTGTAAAACAAACATTAAAACAAAAAAACTGAAGGCACTTAGAGAAAATGACCTGTAAATACATAAAAAAAATGTGTATTGAACAACAAAAAGGGAAATCTGGTGAAATATTTGGTTGAGGTCTAAAAAATATGTTATAAAACAAATATTTGGGTAATCTTGGGTAAAATACACATACAAATAAATGTTCTTTACCAGGACTGTCAAGACTTCATTTTAGATAACTAAATTTTTGATTTCTGTCATTACCAAATTTGATTTTTTTTTCCCTTCAAAATTATTACGGAATGTATGAAATATATTACAAAACACAAATACTAGTTTCAAAATACAGTATACGAGTAACATTTTGTATGCTAATGCTGTTTTATTTCATGAAAACTATACCAGAATAGTAATATAGAAGTCCTACCCTGGGACTTAAAATTCACTATCGAAAATCATTCCAACTTATAAAGTAGGTATCCTAATAGTTTTTCACATTTTTTTTTTAATCATTTTGCAAAGAAGTAAATGTATTTTAACATCACTAGTTATACTCTATACTTCAAAAAATATAATCAACTAAAGGCAACAAAATAATACAATAGATTAGTATCAAACATAAAAAATTATGTTCTTCAACAAAATTCCTACGGAATGTTAAACGTAGTGGAACCCCATTCTTGCATATGGAAGCTGTATCACAAACATTTTAATAAGTAAAGTACAGTATACTTGGAATACTGAAATTGTGTTTTCTTGTTGACTATGTAAACGAAATTTGAAAAAAAAAAAAATACCAGAAAAAAAAGTAATAGAAAACTGGGTTTGACAGAGAAACACAGAACCACAAAAATATGTCAGTATCAAAGTCATAAGTATTACTAGCAGAAAACTAACCTGGAAACTGGAACTAGTAATATTAAAAAAACTACACTAGAAAAACGAAGTCTGTAGCTAAGAAGTCGGATCCACTAACACCCGATTGGATGTAACTTTTTTTCTATTCTATTGGACGGAAAATTCAGAATCAGAAGAACAAACAGCGTATGAAAACTACGTTCCTTCTCCAATATCTTTCACTTTCAATCGATGTAACAAATCTTTACGTACTGTAATTATAACACTTTCTGTTTTCACTTTCAATCGATGTAACAAATCTTTACGTACTGTAATTATAACACTTTCTGTTTTCACTTTCAATCGATGTAACAAATCTTTACGTACTGTAATTATAACACTTTCTGTTTTCACTTTCAATCGATGTAACAAATCTTTACGTACTGTAATTATAACACTTTCTGTTTTCACTTTCAATCGATGTAACAAATCTTTACGTACTGTAATTATAACACTTTCTGTTTTATCTTTCAAGTCAACAAAGACCCGCTGTTCCATTTTCAAGTAGCTAAAAGTAAATCTGATATTGTAAAGTCATACCGAACAGGAAAGCAAACGTTACACACACACACACACACAGACAGACATAATAAACAGAAAGTATAAACACAAACTGCTGCCTAACACGAACACTTACATACTTAATTGATTTACAGTTTTGAACTTAGCACATTAGTTTAGACAAAAATGTAAAAAATTTTCTCAAAGTCTGTTAGTTTAAATTATCAAAAATGTCATTGTAGCTGCGTTTATTGTGAAAAAAGATGAAAATTTAATTGAAAATGTGTCTGTCTCATGTGAAAGCTTTATAGAAGAAAGTAAGCTATTTAGATGACCCCTACCACAATGTAAAGTTTAGAAGTTATCAAATCATCGTGAAAACAGTGTAACACATTATTTTTCAGTGGTAAACTTTTAACAGAAATTTAGACTCTTTGCATGAACTGCGTAACTAGTATTAAAAATTCCACCCTTCAAAAATGATTCTACAAACAGCAATAGTAACATTACGAATACAAACAATGACTATACTTTGGATTCAGTAACAGTCAGAAAGAAGCTTGTATACTGGTTCCAGTAATGTAGAACATTTTAAATGATGTTAATAAAAAAAATGAAAAAACTGGGGTTCAATAGATTTTCAAAAACACAAAAAGATAGATTGAAATGTATCATTTCACTTTTTTCTTCTTACTTAAACGTGATCCAGGTATTACACAATTAAATACTAACAATAAAACATCCCAACTGTTTCATAATTATGACTTCTGATAGCAGCCTTGGACATTACGAGCTGATTTAAAATTTCCCATTTTCTTACAACTTATAAAGACGTAAATAATAAAAACTTATCTCACCTTCATGATTCTAGGATCAGTAATTTAAAAATAACAGAATATTTGCTCCAAGAGAGAAAAACTTGGTAAGTTATTAAATTTTATCTGATATTCAGTTCCACCTCCATAGATAATATATAAATACATCATTATGTTAAGGTTTCTAATTACACGCTCTTCAGTAATTCTTTTTTTTAATAACGTTCTTTACTTTTCCAGAAAATTCTAATTTTTTGTTTATCCTCCGTTTTACTCACCAGTATTCGTGACCAAATACAATTATAATATACATATATATAATAGTAAAAATGGAATGTTTCAATTTTTGCATCTTAGTAGAATTATAAACAAGGCAATAGACGCAACTAGGCAAATATTATTTCTCAAGAAACAAATAACGTACAAAATAAATGAATCCCACAGATGCACGTACTGAAAAATAAACAGATAACCATTTGTACGTGTAACATATAAAAATTCATATATCTTGTATTAATGATCTGTTCTGACTCTTCCACACATTAACGACGACAGGTTCACTCTATATTAAGTGTAAACCATGATACAATATTATTATTCACTGTTATTTAAGAATTTATACAAAAAAAATTAAAACTGACAATGGTGACAAGAACTTCAATCTCTGAAAGAGATAACATCAACCACGTAAGCATTATTACAGATGTTCCAAGATAGCAAGTAAGACACAAACTTTCATTACAATAGATTTAAACAAGTACTCTACGTATCCAGTTTCTTCTAGTAAATTATGTCACTCATCATAACTTAACACTTCCAAACCAAAACAAGAAAGGTATTAAACCACTTACAACATACACTAAACAACAATTATGTTACCAGTGCTAGGATTTTTGTTTTTTTTTTACAGACATTATTAATAATTTTTTGTTTGAAATGTTTAATTCATATTTCTGAGGAAATCACCATAACTTCCGAGTTCCATGATCAGTGTTTCACCATTTAACTAATACTTCCTACCAGAGATAAAAACCTTACGCTGACTCTTTTACAGTCTATAGTTTAAGTTTACTTCTTTACCTACATAAAACTTAGCTTGTGGTCTTTGTTCAAATTTGAAAACCGTTATTTTAATTTTTTAATCTATTCTCGTTGTTTCAAAGTACTTTAATGTAACTTAATAATGTACATGATCTGTAGCTATGTTCTTTGTTTCAACTCCGTTACTGTTCTTACAATCTGTAACTGGATTTTTCTTCTTCTTCTAAGTCTATGTCTGCATCACAAATATTCCTACAACCTGTAACTGTTGGGCCTTCTTCAGCCAGAACTATTTCCTAATTACAAACACAGCTTAGAAGAACTGCTGATATTTATTTCAAACTGTTCTGACCCGAAACAAACGTGAACGTAACAAAAATTGCACTTGGTTTGGTATTTTTTCTCTCACGCAGTCCACGATTATATAAGACATAATTCATTCCTCACCGACTTTTCATTGACAAGATAAAAGAAATCATTTTAAAAATAATGAATAAGATCAATTTTATAAACACATACAAAAATATAAATAAAAAACTCCCATGTTTGCCAAAGAAAATTCTAGAAGAATTAAATGAACATCATGGAAAAAAAAACTGCCCGACTTAACAGAGGGACTGGATGGTAAGTTTAAGTACAATTTGATGAATTATAGAGATTGAGAAAATAGTTTGATGTTGGTTGATTAAAAGCTAACCTCATAAATTTAAACACGTGTCAATTTTGCCAGGAGACCAGATGCACAAATAAAACTTATCTACGATTACTTTTCTTCAATATATTCCCCTTTTTTAAAACTCATAAATATTCCAAAAAAATTAAAGATTAGTTCCTTTTAAATTAGAATTATTTATCAAACATACAAATAATAGTGCGACATTTGAAAGTAAAACTCGTAAATTAATTTTTAATATGACACTTTATTTTCATAAAATTCAAGATACTTTAAATAATTTCTGTTACTTTATAAAATTAGAACCATTAGTTCCTTTTGTATTAGTTATTATTTATCAAAAGTAAAAATAAAAACACATTTGGAAATAAAAACTCGTAAATCAATGCTTAAAATCAACCTTTTCTTTTAATAAAAAATTAAGATCTAGGATCTAGTAAATTACTTTTTTCTTATAAATAAGATTAGAACTTCTAATACAACATACTGTCAAACCACTCCATTAGATAAAAATGTAAAGAGGCTGGTTTACAAATCGAAAACATTCATGATATCTTACTAATGAAAAATAAAAGCTGACTCGTGTATAAATGTATGTTACAAGGTGACAACCCCATTGTCGCTGTTTTTAATTTCCTCATCTTCTTCAGTGTACAACACTGCAGTGTGATCTCTGATTTCATCTTCATCGTATCTGTCATCATCGCTGGCCAGTGATGTATTTGACTGTTGAGAACCGTGGGAGAGTTGTGAAGACCGACCTATCGACCCCCGCCGAGGATAAGACACACAACTCTGGTTTGCTGGCCTGATGGTGATGATTAAATTGGATGAGTTAGCCACCATCATGTCCGTCACTTGATCTAAAGTCTTTCCGGCTACCTCGATGCCATTTACTTCCAATACCTCATCATTAACGGCAAGCAAGCCAGTGCTTTCTGCAAGACCCCCAGGAACAAGTCGCGAGATGAAAATCCCAGGGACTTTCTCAAGACCCTGGGGTGTGACCCGCACACTTGTGCCATCTCTGATGTAAAATCCCAGTGGTTTGTCAGACCCATGTTTTACCAATCTTACCCGGCGACATGTCTCTGGAACAATGTCTACATCAATAATGGAGGACACCTGACGGAAGTCTTCTGGTAGACTGATTGAAATTTGTGGTTTGGATTTTGGAGTAGACGGGAGAAGATACTGACTCAAAAAGTTCCGTTTTTTGCTGGCATTTCCATAACCATTTAGCTGCTCCCAACTCTCTCCTTCAGAAATATTAAAAAAGTGCACTGAACATTACCTCATTGTCACAAAGAGAACACTTAATTTAATAACACTAGTTTTGTAAACAGAAAATCAAGGACAAATATATTCAATCGTGTTAAGTGAAAGCTCCAAAACCTCAAGACATCCATACTACTTTATAAAATGTAATAAGGAAAAAGTAACCCACACACTTAACTTCAATTCATGAAGTCAAGGAACCCGCTCGAAGTGGAGACAGCTGTTATGGGTATTAAAAACAGAACAAGTAACAAATATTTCAACCTGCTTTGGTCATCATCATGTAAAAATGATCTTAACCTGATGATAACCTAAACAGGTCAAACATTGTTACTTGTCTTGTGTTTTAAATAAAAGCTTTAAACACCCACATCAACTGTCTCTACTATACATTTACGTTAATATATTGTATAACATTATGCAAAATTAATTATACTGTCAAGAAATACATGAAAACTGTCCTAAAAATGCTCAAAAATTAAGAAGAGATCTTTATTACATCTATATTACTGTTATGAGCTTGTACTAAAGCCACGCACTAACTTAGATCACAAAACCAAAGAAATATGACACTGAATACGTTATACTAAAAACCAAATGAGAGTCAAAAATTACAGCATCACGCATAACAGTTATAAGTCTTAGATAAAATACATAAAGAAACTATGACTATTATAAACAAGGGATTTTTGGAACATTTACATACCAAATCTGAGCTAACTTTAAAAAAAATTAGGCCTAAAATATCTGTTGACGGATCATAGTATACCGACAACTAAAATTACAGCATCACGCATAACAGTTATAAGTCTTAGATAAAATAAAGAAAGAAATTATGACTATTATAAACAAGGGATTTTTAGAACATTTACATTCCAAATCTGAGCTAACTTTAAAAAAAATTAAGCCTAAAATATCAGTTGACTGATCATAGTATACCGACAACTAAAATTACAGATCGGACATTTTCTGCATAAATAAACAAATGTTAGGGAAATATGTTTAAATATTGAGATGTAAAACACTTTTCCACTTCAATGCCTGTAAAAAAGTAAAATTTAATCAACAAACATGTAATAAGAAAAATTATAGTTTGTTTATGAATAATTAACGAATTATCTAATAGTTACAAAATATCTGAACAATTAAAATGTTTTCTTCAAACCATGAAAAAGTCACTGAACAATTATACCAAACTTTTAAAACCGTACGATAATTATATACAACATTATTCTACATCAGATGCTAATGATAAAAAAGTTATGTTAAACTTTACAAATATTTTTTTAGCTTATTTGTATTTTTTTCTTTTGATTTTAATAACTTTCATATCTTTTTTTAATTTATCTTAAATGTTACTTTATAATCAATTTTCTTTACTTATTTCTAAAAAACTTTTACAGAAATTACTTAAAAAAAACCCTACTTGTAGAGTCCTGGGTGAAATCCTGCAAGTTTGTCGTACAAAAGAAAAGAAAGATCACAAAAAAAAACATGTAAGACAATAACAGTAACCAGTATTTTAAACACAACCTTTCAATGAAATCTAAATATAAACAATAAAACGTTTCTTAAACATGCAAAAATGATTTTTAGCCTCTCAATTTCATCTTGTTTAAAAGAGAGTTAAGTTTAAGCTTTGCAGTTTAAATGTTATACACCAGTGTTTTACAATTTTTTAACTCTGTGGATTACCAAAATCTTTGTTAAAAACATGCTGACTGTAAGGAGTGTTTAGGCCCATTTATAATATGCAAGTTACAGATACGCAGATTGGAAATAGTCTTACACAGGGTGGTTAAAAAGAAGTTTGAAAGGATTTAGAATTTTAATAATATGAATATTTACTCGAAAAGAATTATAGAAATTTTAAAATTTTCATCATTATATATATATATATATTTTTATCACTAGTTGTTTCTGCAAAGCAACACTTGAGAATCTCATATTTTAGCAGCCGACAGTACTTTTTAAATATCAGTGAGTTGAAAGTTCTAAACTGTTTCTCTGATGTTTTTTTTTTATCGTTTATGACGTGCAGATCCTTGCTTTTATCAGATTGGTCTGTAATTAAAAAATGTTGAAGTTAAACTCAAGATTTACCTTTCCTCTGTATTATAATTCTGAGCAGTGGTTTTGCAGCTGACACTGCCCGTGCAAAGTTGTCATCGTTATTGATTGGCAGCAGGTCACCATGAATTGGGTCGGTATAGCAGAGTGTAAATGGTAAATCATACAGCCTGTGTAAATGCTCAATCTGCTTGTAAAACTCTTCGTATGCTGTCAGCTTACTGCGATCGAGAGAAAACCTTCGAAACTCTGCCTCAAACTGTTGAATAAATTATCAACAATTTTAATATGCACATATGATAACTATATTTCTGTTGTATAACACTTGAAAATAAATAGTTCCTATCAATGTTATTTGATTACAAGTCAGTTTCTAGTCATGTAACGAGTCTTTATATACTAGTAAAAACCTGTGTAGTATTATTTCAGCTCAGACTATCAAAATCTTATTCTTCAGAAATTAGTGTAACCATTGTAAAGCAAAAATGCATTTTTGTAATCTTGTTTTCGACATATGACAAGCTCAATCTAAAGTCACGGTTTAGTCCTAGTATTACTGATAGGGCCCATTTTAAACTTATTTTTATTATCTATTTATGCACCAATTGCTTGTTAATCCATCACTTTGTTGGTTACAGAGTCCTCAATACATACAAGAAATGTTATACACATCAATAATACAATAAATCCACTGACTGTTGTTAAGGTTCACCATGTAACTTATAAAGAAAACAAGTGATTTTTTGGTAAGTTTTTTACACCGACCGCCGTAACAGAAAAATATAAAATTACCCAATATGTGAATATATATTAATTAAAGCCACTAATAACAGTGTACGAAAGTTGAAGTAAGCCAAATGACACTACAAGTTTCTATGGTTCGAGCCAAAAATTCCTTCCTCTCCTCTGCTCAACCACAACAGGAGTTATTTTCTAAACAAATGCAAACATCAACTTATATTAAACTTGAAGGTGATTTCATTACAGGTTAACTTGAGACTAAAATAAACAAACACGTACAAATTCATATAACTTAACATGGGCAAAAATAAATTACCTTTACAGGTATTCTTCTCCTAAAAATTTACCTTTATCTCATTATAGTTATTTTACTATTTGAATGAAAACCAGTCTTTTAATTAATTGTAAAACAAGATGGAATCCTTAATAGCCACAGCACTTGAAATTCCTTTAGGCAGGATTAAAGTACATTAATCTACAAGACATTTTTTTCCCTTTTTATTAGCTATATTTTTGTGCACCAGCAGTACAATGCGTGGAGTGTGTGTATATCTGATTCAATTTTATTACTCATCAGGATCTCTACCAGCCTACTATCAAACTGAAATTATTTTATGCAGAATTAGAGTAAATTAATCTACGAGACCTTGGGCATGGTTAAATAAATCAATTGAAAGGGTTTGACCTCCTGATCCCAAAACTGTAATTAGATCTCAAATTGGTCAAGAGATGTTGAAGCTATGAGCTAAAAAGTTTGTACTTGAAAAACTCGGAGCAATTCTATGAGCCGCTATGCCACAGCTAAAAAGCTAAGACACAGTTAAGATAATTTTATTTTTGTGATTAGCTTATGCAGTGAGTTACCAACAGCAACAATGGAGGTTGGAACTTTACTAATATTTAAAAGTTGAAGCATTAATTTCCTGCAAACGAGGGTGGATTTAAGCTTTTACATTGTTCTCAAGAATGGGTGTTCAGGGATAGCCCTAAAGGATTAAATGACCATGTTGTCTGTGTACTATCTCTCATATTACATAATTAAAAAAAAGTAGACAGTGCAGTCTTAACTTTAGCATTGGGCATACCTCAAACTATAAAGAATACCCTGAAATTTACCCTCGGACAGTTTTTTTTTTTACTCTTGGTGTTTGCAAACATCATAACTGACAGAATATTAAAAATCAATTAATATTTGAGTTTTTAATAACTGACAGGTATATACTATTATTCTTTTAACACTGTGTAATTTAACCAATGAACCCAACTTTTACTTAAAACAAGTTGTGGTGTTTGAATATCAATCATTGTCATGGTTTGTTTCTTGTATGATCATTTAAGTAATTATTAATTGACTTATTTATTATTAATAATAATGTACATTAATAAATTTATATCCCTCATTTCAGCTGATAATCTGCAGCTATTTTCAAAGAAGACCAAAGATGAATGTCAGCCTCAGTATATAGTCCTCAGGACCTCCTGACTTAACATGTAATAACCATTCAGTAATATAAAAACTAATTAATAATAAGGCTTAGGCTACTAAACACAATAAATACATGTAATTTTTTTTTTAGTTTTCCAATTGATTGTATTAGTATTAGTAGTGCCTAAATACTATTGACGTTAGTTGCAATACCATAACTGTACAAGTTGTAATATAATTGATATAGTATCACTAACAGTAACGTATTAATTTCAAATTTGTATGAAATTAGTCTATTTAATTATTTGTTATACAAGTGTTATGTTTAAAGTGAATAATATAATGTATAGTAACTTCATTTATTGTACAGGAAATTGAAATCCCTGTTATTAAGTTTTTAAACAAAGCCCAAGCCTACAGCGACTAACAATAGAAAGATGAGTACACAGTACTGTCAGTGTCAATAGTACGAGGCAATATCAAAGACCATAAATACGTTTGCAAATTAAATTCACTTTCTACAATTTATATTACATTTTA